TGATTGCGAGTTGGAGCGTGAAGCGCTCTTTCACGATTGTGATCGTTCCGCAAGAGTGGGTCCTTTGTGCTCAAGGACTTGCGGTTGGCCGGCGCGGCGGTGATTTGCCCGCGTTGGGCGTCTTGCGCCATGCCGAAGATGGCCAGTGTGCAGGCCATGCCATGCCATGCCGTATTCCGAGGCAGGCCGCCTTTGCTGCCATCTCGGGGACACCACCGGGCCAAAGGCCGGCGGGCAATGGCGCAGTTGCACAGAGCTTCGACTGACGGTCACAAGTCACAATCTCATAAGTCACGAGTGTGGAATGGCATTCAAAATTCAATCGCCTTGACTTTGCAACACGTAGGTAAGGACATGGATCTTGCGCCCACAAGCTCTCAGCGTCAGCCTCTCATAGACCTCGACAAGGCGGTCCCACACTCACCTCGTGCAATTCTCGAACGCGATCTTTTCATATCCAAGAGATACGCAGCCCAGATTTGTGGGGGATCTTTTGGGGGGCAGGAACCTTGGACAATTCCCTACGGTTGCTTGCCCCAGGTCACAGCCATGCAAGTCCAGCACAGTCAGAGCGCAACAGCAAACGTGAGTCGCGCGCTGCGATGAATGCATTCATCGATCCTGATTGACGGGCTGTGCAATTCAGCGTGCGTGGGATGCAAGCAAGACCTGTCGCGCTGCTGCTGCCTCACAACTCGTTTGAGTGAAGGCATGCGCGCGTGCGCATTCGAGTCAGAGTGGGTCAAGCTGCGCCAAGCCTTAGCGTCCTTTACGCAACGCTCTGCGAAATTGTGCTGGGCGAGCGTGCGGCAGAGCATCGAAGGCGTCACTAGCTGAAGCAGCAGTGTGAGTGCATACTGTATACTGTAGTCTACCGTAGCATCGCCGATGCATGCATGCAGCTCGACCATGTGCATGCTGTGAGTTGGCGTGCAGCGGGCTGAAAGGGATGTGCATGATCTGTGCCTTGCGCGCTCCAAAAGAGACGGCTGCATGGTGCAAGGCTCCATGCATCTGCTCGATGGATGAATTAAGATGGTGAGTTTGTGCCTTTTTGCCTTGGGCGTTCATGCGGTCTTTCAAGCTATCCCTGGGCGGAGGATCAGTCTTATCGGCATGCTAGCGACGCGTGAACGTCAAGAAAGAGAAGCGCATGCATGCAGCAAAGCGTTCAGGAGGGCAAAGCGCAGCAGCAGCAGCAGCAACGCAGACACAGCAATGCATGGGGGAGTCAAGACTCGTGAGTGTCGTGTGCAGCGAGGCTGTGCCGACGCGTGCGTTCTGTCTGATGGCAGGGCGGTGCATGTCGAGAAGAAATGATGATATGCAGTGTACCACGAGGTCACACGCACTCAGAAAGACTTTCTTGACTTCCCGCTTCCCGCCGCTGCCGTGGCCTCGCATTGCGAGTGCTGACATGGAGCACATGATGTGGTGTAGCGAGAGGGCGCATGTGTCTGTATTAGGACAGGTGCACGCGACAGCGTGGGTTCGTGACTTTTCGAGTTCAGATGGATGACAGGTATAAGAAGGGGGCGCCGCTCCTTGCGCATCTCCCCCCCCCCAAACCATCTCGCTCGACGTTCTACTCTCGCACAGCCAAAGCATCGCTCCTCAAACCTCAACGTAGAAATCAGACCGCACGCCGCACCGCA